TTGGATGTGTTGAATGTGAGGGGGAGGATAAAATTTTGGCGTCTCTTGATAATCCATCTTTGTTGTTGATATTGAGCCGGGACGTTGTGACCGTAGAGAAATGGAATTTAGAGTTGGTGAGGTAATGGTGTTCGTAGTGTGAACCGGGAGCGAATTTATGGAAGAGGATATTGACGTGGTCCTCAATGAAGAGGCAAAATTTTTTGGTGAAGAATTGTAGCTTGAGGCGGGGGAAGATGGGTTTGAATAGGGCGACATCGGCGTATTATTATTTCCCGATATTACAGGCGATCCCGAAAGTTTATCGGCGTGACTATGTCGTGGTGGTTGCGGCTGGTATTCCTGATGATTACCATTGCTCTGATGATGATGATGACGAGGATGGGGATGATTGATATGATAAGGATGATAATAAGGAGGAGTTGGAGGACAAATAGGAAATTTCTTTGAAATGCGATGATTTTTTATTGTCATTTGTTGATGACTTTCGCTATGAATTTTGTAGTGTTTCTTCAAGTCCTGTGGACGTTTGAATGCTTTCTTGCATGTCTATAATAAGGAGAAGTTTTTTTCCTTTTAGATTCTGAGGCACTCCGTCGTTATCGTTGAATAGAGAGGGAAAAAAAAAAAAAAAAAAAAACTCTACCTCACAGATGTGCGGTTTCAAAGGAACATGAACTCGGAGATGACTGGTGATGTGATCTCTTTTTGAGGTTCGCACATCACAGTCATCCCAATAACAATCTAAACACAAATTTCCCGTGGACTTTCTACCCACATGATCCGTCGAGAGATGGGTATACATGGTCTCGGCATCATCAAATTGACGATTACATTTTTTCCATAGGCAGGTTAACACGTCTTCTTCGTGGTAGACGCTATCGGCGTCACTGCTGGTCATCGAGGAAGCTGGGGACAAAGACATTTCGACTATCGCTATTGTACGATAAATAAAAGTTGCGGGTTTCGACAGAAGTCAAAGTTCTATTATTATTAAAGTCCAGTTGTTTGTGAGATTTGATTCTTTTTTTCCAAGGAATCCCCGAAATTTCTAAAACTGCGACGAGTTTATTGATAGGTTGTTAGAAAGAACCAAGTGTTAGGAAATTTTATAAGAAAAATATGTCTGGGGAATTTTTTTTTTTTTTTTTTTTTTCAAAGAAAAGTCGAAACCTAACATTTATATAAATTTGCTTAAAGCACTACGCCAAGAAACATCTGATTCGTAAGCGATTGACAAATATGCTGCCAACCTAAACTTTTTATATTGAATTAATATAATTACAGTGTGTGCCGATACGCACGTATTTTATTTATGATAATAAGCAATTCCTTTTTCGTAAGATCTGTCGCATAATTGATAAGTGTGTGTATCGCAAAAAAAAAAAAAATTGTGATAAAGGTAAAATAACCGGCCGGGACGTAGTCACAGTACCGCAAAATCAAAAGGTAGTTTAAAATAGTTTTGAGGTGAGGAAAACGACATTGCTTGCATTTTCATACGCAAGCGGAGCGCCATTTTCAAGCGGGCGAAATTTATTGCAGTAACGCGGGTCGGCAATACATTGGTTCCGTTCCGTTATTGAATATTGGTCGAATTTTGTAACGCTACTAAGAATGAATGCTAAGTGATTTATATGATAGAATAGGGTGATTGCATGGATGAATAATTCTTAATTTGTAATGATCATGTGTGTCATGTCTAACGTTCACAAGCCAAGGTAGGGCGCAAATGTCCAGAGGTCAAAAGCAAAAACAAAAAAAAAGAAGCCCTCTAAACACTCGTGTAACAAGCAGAATAATTTCGGGCATTCGCTGACAATATACTGTATAATCGTTGCGCGAAGGGAGTAGTACGCGCGTATATACTGTGCGTGGATCAAATTTTTGTCTGTTTATTGAGATGAGGGCAATTAATTCAACTAAGGGGGTTATGATGTTTCCTTCTTTATTCGTTTAAGTCACCATGCACGAAATAAATTAATAAAACAATGATTGCCACGCACATAGTTTCTCGAGAGAATTTTCTAAAAAGATCATTTCCGTACTGATCACCAAATACTGTCCAGAACATGCTTTTTAATGTTACTTTTTGTCCGCGTTGATGCAAAACGAGAAAAAGACCTTCCGTTTAAAGCTGCGAAACTTGTTTCACCAGGAACGAGGCCTCTTTCCATTAATTCTTGGGTGCTTTTTCCTGTGGCGTGCGGTGCAATACGTATTGGTAAGTGATGCGCCACATCATGTATGTGTATGTGCTTCTTGGCAGTTGTATATTTGTAATATGACGATTCAAAGACCATTGAACATCTCAATAAATAATGAGATCACTGATAGATGCAATACCGGCTTGGCGGGGAAGAGATCATTGAGCGACTAGCCGAAACTGTATAACAATAAAATACTCTACTGTGAAGTTTCTACCATGTCAGGCCATTTATCCTACACTATATCAATCAATTATGATCAATTCTGAGCTCGGCTCCCATGTATTATAACGAGAATTACCGAACTTATCCGCCAAGAAAACTCTTTTTTAAGTAGAAAGAAAGAAGCCAAGAATTTGAATAAGAAATTATAATATTAGACATAGTCGTTTTTAGGGTGGGCACAGAGGTGTACGACAACAACAAACACTTGATCATTCATTTCCTTCCTTTTTTTTCATCGCCGCTAAGAAATTTTTCTAAAAAGAATTTTTCTTGGTACAGCGGTGCCGTTCGTTACTTTTCAAGCCTAAATTGTGTAGAGCGTGTGATGTGAAGAAAGCACTGAAATATCACCTCTGGACAAATTGGTAAGATGTAACCTGCACTCATCTAAAAGTGGGTAAAAACATTGCCGAGACGTAAACACAAGAAACCGCACATAATTTCATAGGTCACATGCAATCATTTTCTCGTTATGCATACAGAACAGGATTGATATTCAATTTATTTACATACAGTACGGCACTTCACTTAGAAACAATCTTGACAATGTTCGTTCTAAAAAAATTTTCAAAGATCAAAATTGGATAGATCTCAAGAAATACAGTATATATAATAATAGAAAAAAGGTTTTATCTTATACTATATGTCAAGCAAGTATATATATATTCAATCTTTCCAATCCTGTGAACTATCAATTTTACAATAATTATTACGGTAAAGCTGTCACCAAATGTCTGGCCTTCGAAACATGTTGACAATATAAACTTTATGCATGTACAATTTAAGAAGAAAAATTTCTTTTTTCAAACAATTTCTGATGGGAAGCGTACAGTACGTAACAACTTCTTATGCTAGCGCTAGTAGTTTAAGTAAATCGCACAGAAATGAACTGACGTGAATTATGTAAATTCGAAATTTTTAATTTTTGTTTGTTTACCTGTTTATTCATTGGACGAGCCAATAATCGTTACTCCTAAGAAATCTTGGCATTCTCTACTTTTTATCAATTCGGTAGGATTTGCGTTGATTAAGCCTTGGCATGTACGTAATTTCCCATTGTTGCTTATTACCATCTCATTTTGCTAAAGGATTACTGTGTCCTATCCAACACCTGGCAAGAATTATTGCGCGTGACGCAAGCCAAACTTAGCGACGAAGACATGGGCTCTACGCAAGAAAAAAAAAAACAAAAAAAAACAAAGGACTTGGCCTGTGCCCGTAGATGAACGGTTTACCTTTTCGAGGATCTAAATTAATTTTCTTTTCACGACGTAATCCCAAGAGGAAACAATTGACCTTAATACGTTGGTCGCGGCCTGGTTGATTTTCAATCGGTCATTTCTTGAAAGACGGAATGGGGATTGTGCGATGCAATTATTCAAGATGTGATATACCGTATACCATAAAACTTATGGTTCAGATGACGAAAACATCCAGCTTGCATATTGTAACCTTAATCATTTGTTGTCACCACGGTACAGCCTATACATACAATGCGTATTATTTTCATGTGTGCAGTCACTGTACCATACACGCGTCTCATTAAAAATAAATTATATTCTATCCTAATATTCGCTTCCGTTATACAGTATTTTATTGTATATACGGTACAATTGCATAAATATATTATATTTGCAAAAAATTCAACAATAATCATCTCAATGAATTGAAAAGGCATGGATTCTTTTGCTAAACGTATAATAAGATTGAATTCATTATTATTTACTCTTTCAGAAAAAATAATAAAAATTTTTTATTATTATTAAATATTTATATACAGTATGCCCATTTATTTTTTTAAAAGAATTATTATTATTATATATATATATAGTAGTTTGAAAAAAATTAAAAAATTTTTAAAAATATATACTGTATATAAATTAAAATATGTATTTTATAAAAACATATTTAAATAATCAAATTTATAAATAATATTTTTCACTATATTTAATGAAATAGGAAATTTTCAATTAAGATAATAATAATAATATAAATTAAAAAAGAGTTTTAAGTAAAATTAATTTTTAAGTATCTAAATTTTATATTTAAAGTTTGATTTACTTTAAATAAATTTTATAAACTTCTATATTAAAAAAATTTTAGTTTATTTTTTATACCACTAATAATACTTACAATATATATTTTTATATTTTTATTTTATTATTATTATTATTATTATTATTATTATTATTATTATTATTATTATTATTATTATTATTATTATTATT